CATGATTATTCTGTAAAACCTTTTTCATAGCTATATTTATTTCTTGTGCCAATTTGATAATTACAATATAGAAAGAATTTTGTAACTATCATTATTGCATACAAGTGCCTGTAAACATTTAGTCAAAATAGAAGTCAATTTTGTTATTTATTTTAGCTATATTAAAATTATAATTAATATTTACCTTAGTAACAAGATAGATATTTATTCATAATGTTCATGAAACCTATCATCGTGACCCCAACCTTTATTCCTTTCCCTCGGTGGAGTTGTCCTCAACGAATTTGATTTTGCATTAATATTAATTCCTTTTTTTGCTTTATCCAGTGCACCTGAACCGCGTATCGCTCTTGGACCGCTAGAATTTTTTGAATAATTGCCATGCTCAGGTATGTCATTTTTCATTTCTTCTCTTATAATTCGTGGATTATTCTCAATTTCCCGCAATTGATTATCTAGAACATCAAAAAATTGTCGATTTATGATAGTAGCAATAGTATTATCCACATAATATATGTATATATTTTAACAATTAATAATGTAAATCATGTTACCATTTTCAGTCTTTGTCGTTAAGATCACCTTTAATTCTTCATGAGAAAACGGAGGTTCAAAAGAGAGAGACTTGATATTTGAGAAATAAAAATGTTTCAACCGCGTGTCCTTAATTTCATAGTCATTATTGGCTAACTCTACGATTAATAATAATGCCGCATTGTTCTCGGGACTATGTAAATTTTCCTTTACCAGCAATTGCCTGATTGTCATTATTAAGCTCTCTAATCCACCTGGACACGCTGCATAAAGATCTTTACCAGCTCTAAGTATCTAAAAAAACACGAGATTTCTTATTAACCACAATATCACGATTTTGTAAATAAATAATCTTCATTATTTGATTCTTATGCGTATATGTTATTTCGCATACATTCAATACCTTGTTTTTGTTTTTACCTGTATCATGATAAAATAAATATTATCCTTAGGATTGTCTTGCAGCAGATCTTCCAAATATTGAATTAACGGCTCAGCCAATATTTTCAATCTATTTCCATCGCTCAATTTCATGTGATAATAAACTTCTGCATGAAGTAAAACTTTATTGGCAAATGTTCTTTTATCCTCTACTCTATCTTTTTCTTTAGCTAAAAGTATACAATATAGTATAATATAAAATATAGAACAAGAGATTAAAAATCAAAAATACCAACATATATAATTATCCTGAAGGAAACGTAAGAAGCGGCTTCGTATAGTGTTTTTATTAGTATCTTCTAACCGAACAACCATGTTATCGCTGAATATCAAAGCTATTTTCGAGGTCAATGAGTGATATATAGCCTGCTTCCAAAGAGAATCGCATACATATCTAAAATTTATGACTTTGGGTTAGAATAATTGCCAAGTGATGAAAGAAAAAAAAGTTCAGCTGCAAAGAGAGTAGACCTAAAAAGTTTACATCTTCCTTTTACTCTTTTTTTCTCCCATGTCCAATCATAAAAGATATTCTTTTCAGCTGAACTTCTTGCATGATTCATCTTTTCTCTGGTGCTTTCCATTTAGTGACACAAGTTGATACAAACATCTTTTTTTTTGATACTTTAGTGAATGATACAGGCTTCCTTTTTAGGAATCATCAAATGTCATTTTATTTCTGTTATTCATCCACGTTCAGTAAAATGTTTATATTGCAACTATTGGAAGTTTTCTTTGCTTGCTGAGACAGGATTATTCTTCTAATCTAAAAGTATAATTTAATCACAATGAAGGAAACTTCCAACAATTGTAAAATAAACAGTTTATTAAACATAGCCAATGAATGTCAATGTTTGTGTTGACTACAGGTGTTTTCTGTTTGATGACACAAGTAAATACAAGTGCATTCTATCTTTGTAATTCACTGAATGTCAAGATGTTTATATCAATTTTACTAATTCTTATTTTTACCAATATAGATTAACTTTAATTTCGGTTCAACTTTTCTTATTCTAAAAATTATTCTTTTTCTAGTTGTAAGAATTAGAAAAGGATAAGTTAAACCAGGTTAATCTTGTTAAAAACAAATATAAATAGAAAGCACCTGTGTCTTCTAAAAGGAAAGCAGCCAATGACAGAATGACACTTGTATCAATTTGTGTCACTAAATGAAATGCATCTTCTGTTTCCCAAAAAAAAACTCGTAATACCTCAGACTGTCCTCGTTGATTGCAATGGTCAACAGGTCTACGATATCCTGGATCAGCTTCGGCGAGACGCTCTCACACTCATCATACGAAACTATCTTATCTATTATGTCCTTCAGGACTTTGTTGTTGCTGGATGCGCTTCCTCCTGGTCTACGTAATCCCTGATCCTTGTCTTGGCTGTGATGATTGGACCATCCACGACCGCGACCAAACGAAGTCATCCTCAGACTTAACAACTAAGCCTATTTGACACAAAAAAATATATGCCAATATATTTCCAGTGACTGAAAAGTATATAATAAGTACATAATTTAATAACTTTATTGAGAAATACAGACATGCAGGATATAATCCGATTCAACCACTTGCTTCTCTTCTAGATTTTAAAGTTGTATATAATGCGATCAGCAAACCATACAATATCCGTTTTTTGGTGTTGCACGATGTACTATTTGCGCTTTCTGCACTTGCGGAGAATGCAGTGATCTGTTCGTTTTTTCTTTTCATGCATTGTTTATTTTTTCTCTTTTTTTCTCTAGTATGAAAAGAAAGAGGAAAATGCAAATTTAGTCATCGACAAAATGATATATCATCGCTGGTTTAGCTAAAAAGAACATACTTCCTGTTTAATGGTATAGACGTTGTCAGAGAAGTAAAAAAAAGACAATAAAATTTAAAAGGAAGATTAGTAAATTTTTAGGCTCTTCGCTCAGCTGAATATTTTTTATCCTTTATCTTTCGTTTCTTTTTATTTAATATCATATTTGAAGTAGATATCGTGGTGATAAAGTGTAGAAAGTGTAGACGGAACAAATGCGTCTTTCGCGAATTATCGCGCCGCCTGGCAATTGCCGCCAGCAACGTCCTGTTTAATTTCTCCAATTTCGTCTGTTACAGATAAAGATGATACGTCATGCGATCCGGAACTGTTTAGACGCCGATTAATTCCTGGACAACGAAGGAAGAGAAATAGCGAAGAAGTTAATAAATTTGGTTAGCATTTAACTTCTTCAAACGTATTGGAGTTATTATAAATTGCACCGTACAGAATATTTATATTAGATTTCTTCATCTATAGATTGCGAATCGATCGAAGCTCGTTACGCTTCGCAATTACGCTCGCTCCAGTGAATTCGCGTGCGACAATTGAAGTCTTGAAAAGTCGAGACGGAATTGCGGAATCATTGCCTGTTTCTTCGACCAGCGTAGCGTATCCTCGTGAGTCTGACAGTTCGACAGGCATAGAAGCGATAATTGTGCAATTTTATATTCCTAATTATAGTATGCAATATCTACACGATAACAAATTGAGATATGAAATAAATTAAACGCTAGAAATCTGTCAATCTATTCCGAATAATAATAATTATGTAATTTTATTTGTTAAGGATTATTTTTCAGGTAACAATAAGTTAAGGTAAAATTAGATAAATGAGAAGAAATAATGTAATGGCATTCCGATAAAGATGTTACAATTAATAATTTTATTAAAGGTTATGTCTAATTTTAAACATAATGTTTGTTTGCTAAAACAGGATATACTAGCTAAATGAAAATTTATTAATGTCTACGCTAAAAAAGCTGATGTGACAATTAATAATTATTTAATTTTATTTTTAAAGATTATTGCTAATTTATGTATGTATGCTATATATTTATACAATGTTTATTATGATAAACTAAAATAGAATACCAACTAAATAAACAGAGGATGTTAATGTTTATTTTGAGAAAATTGTAACAATTAATGATTATTTAAATTGTATTTATTACCGATTAGCTCTAATTTATCGAATGTTTGCGATAAACAAAAAAAGAATATCAGTTAGATGAAAAGATATTAATATCTACTCTGAGAAAGTGTGATAATTAATAATTTAATTATTTAATTTTATTTGTTAAAGATTATTTTTAGTTAATATTTGTTTATGGTAAGTTAAAATAGAACTACAGTTAAATGAGAAGATGTTTATTCTGACAAAACTGTAACAATTAATATAATTATATATTTTTATTTGTTGAGAATTATTTCTAGTTTACACAGCTTACTTACTTTACTACAATAAGCTATACAATAGAAAACCAGATAAATAAGAAGATATTAATGTCCATGCCAATAAAACTGTAATAATTATTAAGCTCACTAATAATTATTAATTTTATTTCTTAAGGATTATTTCTAGTTTAGACAATGTTAATTTGCAGTAAATTAACTAACTAAATGAGAAGATGTTAATGTCTACTCTGAGAAAATAGCGACATTTAATGATTATTTAATTTTATTTGTTAAAGATTGTTTCTAAACAATTGAAAGAATTATTGGAAATTAATTTGCATTAATAATCTATGTAGTGTTTATAAATTAAAACAGAGACTAGCTAAATGAGAAAGCTGTAAATTAATATAATTATGTAATTTTATTTATAGATGTCTTCCATCAATTAACCTTGAAGAAAGCTACCCTATTAGTTCTGATTATCATACTTTAAGACAAGGAAAATATGCATGATGAATTATAATAAATCAAAGAAAGCTGTAGAATTTTAAAAAGGCTGCCTCCTCTGCTTTCTAAAGTTGAATAGCAGATTACTGTGATTATTCCTAAAGAAATAAAAGGAAAATTTGTATCTACTTGATAAGGTAAGGCACAGAGTTAGAGATCAATATCAAGTAATTAATCGAGAGGATTGTTGAAATTTTGTATTAATAATTTATAGTTGCTAGAGATTTCCTGGACAACTCGGGCTCGCGCATGCCCACGAATGTTATCCCGGACGACCGCCAATCGTCAAACGGTACGGTAATCCACAGCAATAATCTGTTAGTCATCAGTACAGCCAGTCATTGCGACCATCGCGTAATCCACCCGGATGATCAACAGACGTCAACGGCAGTCGGCTCAGCAGTCGCTCGTGGTTTGCATCGTGTCCAGGCTACTCCGCTGCTTCTCGACGGAGAACGAATCTCGTAGTGACAGTAGTCGCCAGTCGTCGGCCAGGTACGCTACGCTCGTGCTGTGGTGATCGGTTTCGGAGTGTTTTTCCTCCCGTTCCTTTTTATTGCCAGAAGGTATATCACAACCGACGTAGCTGAGGAAGCCACGTCGCGTCCCAAAAAAGGGATAGGATATAAAAGGGAAAGAGAGATAAGATAAAAGGACACCACTGCTTGTCCGTCCAGGAAACATGACGACGGAGGAGAAGTTCAACGCCGCCGTGAACGTGATTAGGAGTTTGCCGAAAAACGGTATGATAATCTTACACCCACGTTATCGTCGCATTAGCACAGCGAATCTTGGAGTGTCTCGAAAGCGCGGATGCATATCTCGAAAGTGAATTTTTCCTTTGCATACACTCCGAAACATTTTACCTCTTACACACTCGCATCCGCTGTTGCATTCGCCTGAGAACGCGGGAGATATCACAGTATCGCTTTTTGCTTTCCACGCTTGTTGATTTCTTTCCCTTTCTCGCCTCTCTTCCTTCGTATAACTTTACTGCGTGCTGGCTAAAGTCCACGTCGCCGTCGATATTTATCTTCCTGGTGCGAAAACGGCTTATTTATTCACAATTATGAAGAACCGATAATACATAATTATAATAGTTTTTTTCCACGTATTTAAAAGCGTCAAAAAGTCAACTGCAAGATTATTATGTATATACATATATATATTTTTAATATATATATATATATATATTTTTTTTTTTAATATATTTCCTGGATATTTTATATAAATTTCTTTAAACTGAAAACATTCGAACAATGACAATAAAAATCACACATGGGTCTTTAAATTTCTAGCCTTTTTCATTATCAGGTGATTTTATATATGGAAAAAAATACGAAGCTTTTACATGCATCGTCGTTACGCGCTACCATGCGGAGAAATTGGCAAGATCTAATGATGTCCGAGGAAAGTGAATGTTCTTAAGTCAATTTCTTATTCGCGGTGTCAAGATATTAGGACAAAAAATTTCATTTTCCGAATGCTCATGCACTGTACGGAAGAAGCCTCCATGTCCGTTGTATTGTCTGTTCAATTGGACGACATACATTTTGATAGTCTCTGTGTTGTGACGCGAATGACCTTCACACTTAATAATTATGTCAAAAAAAGAGATAAGCTTATTGATTTGCATTTTCTTATTACTTATTCAATTCTTTTGAAGAAAAAAACGATAATTTACTCTCAAACAAATTAAATAATAAGCGATGAAATCTTGTTTACAGAAATATGACTATTTTTTTAAAAGCTTGTTTTTTAAATCAAGATGCTTATTATTTTCATCATTAATATTGATTTTGTATCATATTTACATAATTTGTATCATGTATACATAATGTACATAATATATATCCTTATATATATTGTATTGTATTTTTTTTACTATTTAGCCTTGATGTTAGATATTGTACATTCAAGTATATTATACTTTCCAGTCACTTCATATAGCTAAGTGACTGTATTATTCCCCACAGTCCCCACTTTACTTTCTAACAGTGTAAGACACGCTTAGTGGTTAAAACTAGAATGTTCCTCTTCACTGATCATAAAAAAAATAACTTGTATTGCACCAGCAGTTATGAAATTTTGTTAATAAGAGCTTATTAGTTAACGCTAATTATTTATTTCCAGGTCACTAGCAATATATAAAATATAAAGTTAAAACTTGTTATTATACATAATTTCTTGGTAATCCATCTCTGTATTCTTGTACTATGAACTTGCTTATTGACAAAAATATAGGCATAACACCGTTGCAGTGCAACGGTGAAGTACATCATGCATAATACAAAAATTACTTGATATAAATATATTCTTGATATAAATTGATATTCATTCGAACTTGATATAAATATATTCATTCGAATTTTAATAAAGATACCTTAATGAGACATTAAAGTATCTTAATAATAAAGCTAAGATAATAAGCTTTCAATAATTGCTATCACAGTTATTTTCTATTAACATTAATTTTGAAGATCATGAATTCCATTAGAAATACAATTAGAATGTTTTCACTATGTCTAATATTTATTACTATCGAATAAAACTTACGTACTTTGAAGTAAATATATATGCATATATATATTTTTTTTATATGAAGAATTAAATTTTTGTATTTTAATAATTGCGCTGTGCTTTATTATTTATTTAATTATTTCAATATTGAGAGCTTTTACAATTATTGTTATTAATTAATTTATTATTACTTAGTATATCAATATATCCTAATATTTAATATAGAGTCTTTTAAAACTATGTAAAAGCTAAAACTATGTAAAAATAGTAAAACTTTGTTTAACTAAACATATCATAAAGGAGAAAATAGTTCTAATAATCAAATATACTAAACTTGAATATATCAAGCTTTTATTTTTCGAATTATGGATCCATAGTTCGGATAATTAAGAGTTTAGCTATAAGTCTGTTTTTTTCAGCCAAACTTTTTCACGGATCATCTTCTTTTTCTTTCCACATTAGAGAGAAAAACTAAAAGGACATTAGGAAAAATCTTATGAGTTCGTATATTTAGAACTGAGCATAAATTTGTTTCTACAAATACAATGCAAATGAACGGAATTTTACTGTATATTATTTATATTATGTGATGATGCATAAATTATCATATCATCTATTTCATGTCTATATACAAGAGAATACTCTTGACTTTTTGGTTAAGAAGTCAAGGAGATTGAAATAAAATTATCATCATTATATCTCCATTTAAGATACAATGATGATGTTTTTATTTCTATCTTCATTTAATTCTTGATTAATCAGAAAAAACATTTCAATTTTAACTAAGTAATAAATGAAAAAACGGACAATAAAGAGCTTAAATTCGCAATAATTGGAGCGATTATATCAATGTATATTTTTCAATACTACATATATAACAAATATCAAATGTTTCGGCTTAATTCAAGCCATTTTTAGCAGTCTAGTATAATAAAATCTCTTGACTGCTGAGATACTAGATTGCTGAAGAGGCTTGAATTAAGTCAAAACGTTCGGTATTTGTTATATATATGTAGTACTGAAAAATATATGTTGATATAATCGCTTCAATTTACTGCGAATCTAGACTCTTAATTGCCCATTTATTGTTTAGTTTTTATCTCAAGAGCTCAACTTTAATA